CTAAAACTATATAAATATTTGATTAAAAGCTTACACTTCATACATTTGAAATGTTATCTTGGCAACTAACTGAAAATGAGTAGGTTTAAGCATTAAAATTATAAAGCTAAATAGACATTTCTTTAAAATTATGATAATGAAAATAACAAAAACACATAACAAAATCACTAAAACTTAAAATAAAAAAAGCTCATTCAAAATATTAATAGCTTTTATAAGAGTATATAAATAATATTAAAATAACACTGGAACTATCATATTATATCAACAGACCGCTTATAGCTTTGGAACCACTAGCTGGTGATATAACACCATGAGCAACCCATCCCTCCGTAAGCGCCTTTTATTTGACAAACTGCAGTGGCCTTGCTGCAGACCAAATCATGAATCCCTGACATTTTTACAGGTCATTTCAAAAATAAGTTCGCACTCAAACAAAGCACACATTACCTTTCAAAAGTTTTAAGTCGGTAAGATTAAAAAAAAAAAGAAAAAAAGAAAAATCAGAAGTCTTTTTGCTCACTGCATTTATTTGATCAAAGTAAAAACTGTAATATTATGAAATATTACAATTTCAAAATACTGTTTTCCATTTTAAAATATAATTTATTCCCGTCTCCAGCATCACATGATCCTTCAGAGATCATTCTAAAATACTGGTTCTCAAGAAACATTTCTTATTATTTGTTACAATCGGTTGTGCTGCTTTATATTTTTGTGGAATCCATACTACATTTCTTAGGATTCTTTGATTAATAGATCAAAAGAACAGCATTTAATTGAAATAAAAATCATTTGTAACATTAAAATATCTTTATTTTCACTTTTGATCAATTTGATGTGCTTTTTTAATAAATGTAATCATTTATTTATATTACCATTTAATAAAAAAAACAGACTCTAACTTTCAAACGGTAGTGTATAGCTGGGCTTTAGCAAGTTTCATTTGATAAGAGATAAAAATACAGAAATCATTTTTAAATGTTCCAATAATGATATTTATTCAATACAATTTCAATTTAAAAAAATACCAGAAATCATCTTATAATAATAAAATGCATTGATTACAACAATATTTGTCAAACAGAATATTATGCAACAGGAATGTTATGAAGACTGAAACAAGTAAACCCACAAAGTTATTACGTCCAGGGAAAGAAATTACAGTGCAGAGCCAGACCTAAAAACCAGTATGATATGAAATACCCCAGTATGCATCGTGTATAAATAGAGCAAGTCTGCCAGTGCATCAAGAGGTAAACAACTTCATTATTTCTCCACATGCCCATAAAACCAAAGCCAGGTTTGTGATCCTTTTGCTGTTGTATTTGGTCTGATCTGAACAGCTTTTCATCTTGCAGCAGCGGTTCATACTGAAAAAGCAGGTGGGCACTGATCCAGTAGAGAACAGGCGAGGAGGAAGCAAGAAAGCGTGTCAACACCTGAGAGGACATAATATAAAAAAGGCATGTTGAGCATATACACTACATATATCACATGATAATATTCAATTATAAGAGTCTTACCTGCACATGCATGCAGAATATTCCAAACAGAAGCAGGACAGAACTGTGCACGATGTAAACAAACACTCTTGGGTTACAGAGACCATGAATTTTTCTGTCTTTTCCTCTGTCTCCCAACCCCAAATACATACAAAGCACTGGGTTGGCCATTACGTATATATATGAGGCTATGAATCCCAGAGTTGCAACAGGCAGCGCTAAGATAAAGTTGGGTATCTGCTTCCACTGAAAGTATCGCAGGAAGCCCACATCCCAATAAACATCCTGTATGTACGAGTACAAAACTGGAATTCGCCATTGGCACCATCTTGGTATTGGAGATGCTGCATCAGCCACACGGTATCCTTTGTCCCGGGCCAGATTAAGCAGCACAGGAGGAACTTGAGTAGCAGTCGGATGACAAAATGTTTGGTAGCCATAAACCTGAAACAAACAAAAAGGTAGTGCCACGAGAGCTGCATAAAATGCTCCTGTGAGAACAAAACGAATAAGTTCCCTGACATAGTGATGATACTGAAAGCCCCCTGCTCCTCTGCTAAGAGCCCGTGCACAGGCAAGACCCAAATGCAAACTGAGGTACAGCAAAAATCCAGCATTCACAAGTCCATTGGCACGAGCACCAGTAGCAAACCCAAGCAGAAGACAAGCTCCAATTGTGAATCTTGTCTCTAGTAGCCAGAGACCTGCAAAGGTAAGTGCTGCAAAGAGAGTCTCTGAATAGCCTGCAATCATAAAAACATTAGCTGGTGTCAGACAGTACATTAAGACTGCAACAAGGGCAAGTTTTCTGTCTTGCAGCACCAAATGACTCAGTCTGTATAGTGCCACAGCACTTAGGACAAAGAGAATGCTATTCCCTATAGCCACAGCTAAAAGTAAACGGCCATGCAATGTGAGAAATCCACACAAGGGCCACAGGACAGTGGCGGCCAGGAATCGCAGGATGAGAGGAAACAATGGAAAGAATGCAAAGTTGTGTTCATACAAGTAGCCACGTTCTGCAATGAAGAGGAAATGCTCTGCATCCCAGCGACTAAGGCCACCAAATAATGCTTCGATGACGGGGTCCAGCAGGAGAGGGGTCTCTGATCGTGGAGGGCTGAAGGCATCTGCCACATGGTCGGGAATCACTGCATTCAACACAGCCTTCAAAAGTGCACAAAACAGACAGTAATTTGTCATGTGCATTGTTTAGTTTGTGCGGTAGGTGTCACTCTAATCTCAAATTTGCAACTACGGCCAGTACTGATTTTATGGAGTTCTACATGTCTATGGCAAGTATTTTAGGCAGACGTCAAAATACAAAGTACAAATACATCGTTTTAGGCTATTTTAGTCGTTTGTGTATTTCAATTGCTTACCTGTAAAACAAGGGAAATCAGTCGCGTGAACGTCGCAAACCATACAACTGTCCACACGTCTTCGTTTATACAAGTGTTCGAAGGCGACATATTTAACAGAAACTTTCATAAACGAAAATAACAGTAGACAATTTCCCTTGAAGAAAATAGTAATCATATTAATCCCAGTAAATTAGCAGATACGATAGGGGAGGCGTCATTAAAATAAAAAGAAGCCAAAGGGCAATATGCTTTCTTGAGGTTTGTAACAACTGCAAAGACCCGCGTCCGCACACGAATAATAAAACAATGTAAATTATATTCACGTTTTTCCAACTCATCGCATAAAGCCACTGAATGGAACAACAGCGCTAACAACATGCACTTCCGGCGTGCAGTTTTACAAATGTCAAAATAAAAGCCCCAATATCTTGACCGGTATTACGAAATCGAAACCTACTTGTACAATACATTATATTCTATTACTTCTATATACCTATATGGCCTGGACAGTCAACACCATTTAAAACGGTTAGGTTCAGTTATTATTTCGAATTTATAAATGCAGAAAATATTTATATTTTGCTTCAGCTTCGTTGTCTCAGGAGACAAATATATTTGAATCAATCTTTTCATTGCCTTTTCAACTGATAAACATCTTTTTAGCGGACAAATATAATTGAGCACTACTGTAAGAGTAATATTAAATCTTACAAAAAAATTTTTTTTTATGTAAACATTCTGATTTAACCTTCCATTCATAATTACAGAATTCTAGGAAGAGGATTCTAGGATCAACTGATAAACATCTTTTTAGCGGACAAATATAATTGAGCACTAGTGTAAGAGTAATATTAAATCTTACAAAAAAATTTTTTTTTATGTAAACATTCTGATTTAACCTTCCATTCATAATTACAGAATTCTAGGAAGAGGATTCTAGGATTTTTTTTTTTTTTTAATCTAAATGAAAATAATCACAAACATCTTACCAAGATTTAATGTACATTTATTCTTACCACGTGGAACATATAGTATAAAGATTTCATAGTGAATAAATGAAATTCATTGAGCCAAAAAGGGGGGGAAAAAACAAGGAATTTACATTAAGCTACATAGTCTGAAATACAAATATGCAGAATTCATAACACTGGAGAAAAAAAAATCTCAACTGTGTTTCTTCATCTAGTTATTTTGTTGTACCAGGAGATGAAATTAAAATATTTCAGTTGTTTGCTGCACTATGGAGGAACCGTGGAGGCCAAAAGATGGTTCAGTTTATATACCTAGGCATTTTGATGCAATTAACCCAACTTGAGTGTCCGCTCTTATTCTTGATAGATAAAAAGGGATAAGAAGCAAGAGTGTGTGAAAGAGAGGGAGAGAAAGAGAAAAGGAGGTGAAAATGTACAACATCTTATATACAGTACAGCCTCTGCTGCATCTTAAGTTGAAACCCAGTCCTAGGAGGTGATTTCTTTATGGGGTCAATTCATACAATCAAGGGTTAAAGAGAAGAGGTCAGGGTGTTGTACATCCTTGATACTTTGGGGGGGGGGGGGGGGGTTTTTTCCTTACAAG